TTTGGCGGGTGATCTCCCTGAGAGATAATTGAGTTGTTGTTTTCATTGTTTATTCATCAAGTTCTCAGTTGTAATTATTTTTCGGTAATATTGTTCTTATTTATTGTTTATTGAGTGGGTCGGCTAAAATTAAAGACGAAGAGTGAAGCTCCAATGCAGAATTTTTGAAGTCTATTTGATATTATGCTTTCGACAGTGCACGTGAATAGCAACTAGGTTGGGTGTCCACTTAAGATAAACTGAATTAATGCTGTGTTTACACTCAAGCGTTTACCAAGGTAAACATTAACTGACTAAACCCTGGTACATTTGTACAGTGTTTATACGGGCTCAAATAACTAAGGTAAGTCTGTCATCAATCACAATCTAATCGAATTGGCGACAAATTCTAAATCCACGCATAAATGCTCGCGTTTAAAAGAAAAGCTGTGGCTCTTGTAGTCCTCGCGTTTTATTTTCTTGTTCTTGATCAGCAAACCCAGGAATCGAGTTTGCAGCAGCTCTTACTTTTGCAGCACCTAAAGAGGTGGAGGCGAAAGCGATTAATTCTGCTACAAATTGCCCTTCGCAAGACAAGGCGCGTTTGACGTGCGTGGTCGTGGCCGAGAAACCAATTCTGGTTCGAAACTCTATTAAACGGAAATTTTGTTGAAGAATGGTGTGTCTTTTGTGTCTTTGGTTTTTGCCATAACTTCTTCGTAGACCGAAACCAAACGTGGAAACCTGGTCGAAAACCTAGTCTCGAAAACCTGGTCTCGAAAACGTGATCGAATGAGCCTGACGCAATCCCGACACCACAGGATTTGAAATTCTATGCGACCGCAAGCGGATGTATCTGTCATCCAAACCTTGGTTACCGACCTTAACCATGCCTTTTCGCAGGGCAAACCGAACTTTTACCTTAGTTAACTTTCTATTGTCTTGAGCGGTGTTTACCAGGGTATCAGTTGGCGTTTACACACGCAAAATATTTACCTAGGTAAGTTAACTCCAATACCTCGGTAGCACGCTCAAGTCTAAACACGGCATAAGTGTCGAAGATGAAAGATTGCTCAATAAAACGAACATTGTTGACAGCTTTAAGATAGGCTCAGGGTCTCTTGATGTAATATAACCCTTGGTTCAAAACAATAGACTTGGCGCCTCGCCCTTCAGAAATATGCGAAGATTGCGACGCTGAACGTCGCAATCCCCCGAAAATCGAGCCTGCGGCTTGTAATGTTTGTCTCCCTTGGGTTTTATCCAGTAAAATCAAAGGTCTTACAAAAACCATTCATACCAATTCACTAGCTCCAGTGTACTTACAGGACTTTATTCAATGAATATTCAATGAACGAAGTTCATATTACGATCTACGAAACTCGAGCGATAAGCTAACCTTGCCAAAGCCACGCTCCAAACTGATCTAAAGCGTTAAGCTTAAGTTATAGCGGAGCTCAATTATGGTATTCTTTACCAGAATATGTTAGAAACTTCAAGTCAATAGGGCAATTAATCGAGTGATGCAACCATCGGTTTACCACTTGGCAATCTAGCAAAACAGTTAATAATGTGTACGCAGATATATTTTTTAACTAAAATATTTATTTGTAGCTTTGTACATTACTGAATGATTTTACCGAGTTAACGTTTAAATAAAGTTCTATGTATGAATGTATTCACACCGTATAGTCCATTTACGTTCTTCAAGTGAAGCGATACTGAAAAAGCTTTTGTTAAAAGATCAAGAGAGGATAAAGCTTTATCCTCCCTTGTAAAAGATCAAATAAGTAACACAGACATCAACACTGCTGACATGTACATAAATAGATTATAGCAAGGGCGGATCCAGACAATTCAAAGAGCGGCTTCAAATAGCCAGCGTAGCAGGCGCTTGGAAGTAGAGGGCACAAGAAAAAACGGGCGCGCGAGAAGGAGACACGCGAGTGTCTCCCTCGCGCGCGCCCGTTCTCTCTTTCGCCCACTACTTCCAAGCGCCTGCTACGCAGGCTAGGCTTCAAAGAGAAGGGGTCGGCTGAGGCCTTATAAACACTAGACTACGTGAGTGATTTAAAAGGAACCCCAAGAGCATTTATGTCGAGAAGTTAAAGTGGTTAAGTCACGCTTTAATTGGCAACCTATTCTGAAAAGCTAAAAACGGTTTTTGCATCAAATAATAAAGACCCCTCACTGGATTTAAAAGTAATGGTGCAATTTTATTATTCAAGACTATAGTTAACATTTGAAAAAGTTGGCCCATGCCTTTCAAAAACTCACCAAAAAAATATTATAGTATGTGCTACTCGATAAAACTTGTTTGATATCTTAATTATAACTCTATACAAGGGCATTTTGTGTGTAGCTAAATGCACTAAGTAATGACTTCATCACATAAATGACCTAAAACAGCAGTATCCAGGTGATAATTTAGCCTTGATCTAGCTAAACAAACTTTAAGAGAATTCTTACAAAATTTTAAAAGGCCGTGGCCCCGGCCATAAATCCGCTCATAATAAAGAGAACGTAACGAGACTTGGACGAGTCTTTTCATGACAACTTAAATGACAGACTCGATCAAAGGAGACCGGGGGAGTACTCCTTTATATAAGCCATATCGGTATGTGGCGCCACATGGGGTACAGTTTTTGACGTTTTACGCCGTTTTGGTCTGAAAACGGGTATAGACTTTGCCCATTTGATCTGGAATCGGTTATGGACTTCGAAGGAAGTATGAACGTATTTATCGTTTTAGTTCCAGATGAATATGAAAGAAAGAGAAATGTGCGAGTCCGAAATGGATTTTAAGAAATCTTTTTTGATGGCGTTCTAATCTATTAGTGTTGATGGCATAATTTCTTCAAAACAAAACTCAATCCAGGGCTGGCACCACGGCAAAGGGCTGATTTATTTAAGGCCAGTATTATCATTGTAGTTAATTATTAACCACTTATGTGAATTTTGAATTCAAATTTTGTATTAGGAGCCGTTAAAAGATATTTTCTCTCAGTATAGCTCTGGTTCTGAGGAAAGCTAATTTCGTTGACCGAAATATTGGCCTATAATAAATCAGCCCTTTGCAGCCCTGCATTAAGTTTTGTTTTAAATTATTTCACACTTTAAGTGACGTCTGGTTACAGCATTTCTTTAGAGATCCTGCGGGAGGAACCAGTCAGTTATATTTACGCGTTGCGTGGACCTCTGCATTCAAACAGTTTTTTCATAATTTCTTTGAGGCTAGGTCTGAAAACGGGTATGAAAAATGAAATTTTTTGGTCTGAAATAGGGTCAGGATTAGGAGAACCATGCGGCACACCCCCACCAAGAATTCCCTGGAGTACCCCCCTCCCCCTGGGAATTGAAAGAGACATACCTAGTTGGGCCTTTTACTGACTGCACTGCTTATTGCAAGCAAACCGCCAAGGCGACAAAACGTTTCTTTTGTGTTCTTGACGATCTCTTTTAGGATTAAGTTTAAGTGTTTCAAAGCGAAAGCATATAACGCATAAAAAAGACAATGTGTACTTGTGACTGTACTCTGTTTACAGTTGGGGGAAACAACTGTAAACAACTAGACGAAACTAGCAACAAACCAGACTGGGAACCAATCTACGCACGGTCAGAGCATTCCTCGCCAGGGACAAAACTTTTTCTTTACTGCGCAGGAACAGAACCTGACAGGTGCCGTAATAATCACTAAGCCAATCAAAACAATTGAAAAAATATTTGTTAATGAAGCAAGGGCCTATTCGCACTAAACAAAAGTGTCGGATCCTGGAGGGTGGAGTCAGCAAAAGTTCCTTTAACCAAAAAGCAAGGCTGACTTTAAAGCCTTTTTTTTATATTTTTTTTTATATATTTTTTTTTATATGTTTATTGATAATCACATTAAATAATTACGTTTACAAAACACAAAAAAAACCACTTTAACAAGACATTAACAGAGTAAAGCAAAAAAAAATTGTCAAATTATTACAGGAGGTGTTACAGCGCTAAAAGAAAATTGTAAAAAAGTACAACAGGGCAATGAAATAATACGGAGTTAATACAGTTAACTTAAATAAGGCGTCAGTATCCACTTTCCTTTAAAGAATTCTTTGTTGTTGATTTTTTCTTCTGTTTTATATTTAGCGATGACTTTACAGCCTTGCTTTTTTACTGTTCATTGAAAAAATGTTTTGAATGGTAAACAAAGAAACCTTTCGCATTTTGTTTAAATCGAAACTGAGAGGTTTGCTTAGGAGTAGTATCGAAATAACATCACATCCAAAAAGATCCTCGAATAAGTGCCTTTTATTTTTAATAAGCAGAGCTTAATTTGTCAAGGAGCTTGGCTGTTTTGAAAAACGGTTGTTAAGTGCTTCCCTTGTTCGAGTTAAGTACCTTAGTCATGGATAATGTCTTGTCACGCCTAACACCGTTAATTTTTAAAGTGGGATGGCGGTTGAGTTACTTAAGACTTCTTGAATTTTGACCTTTCAATTATTTTCTGCATGACAGATGTCGATTTCCTGTCGTCTACGCAACATTATTGGATGAATTCTTTGCCAAAAAAAGTTTCGACTTATGAATGTTTGCTCAAAACCAGACTAAAGTTTGTTCTTCGTCTGTCACTTGAATAACAAGTAGTTAGGGTGTCTCATGATTTTGAGCATGTACACAGTATATCCCTTCAGAGGGTACCTATTTCAGTTAATTACAGTCCAAAGAGATCCCAAGACCGTCGAAATTCTCTCTGAACAAGCCCTTGTCTATAATCTACGACGGCTGAAAAAATTATCTTCACTGAATTTCTGCTCCCCATTTTTCAATAAAGTACCGTTTATTCACTAGGTTAAAGGTCTGTAATTAAGTTTGAAGAACAGAAATAATTCTGCTAATCTTATAATGCTCTTTTCCTTCTTATGTAAATTTAGCTTTATGTGAACCGACCCGACATCTGTGGCAAGAGGTAAGCCGAGAAAAACAAAAGGCGGTTAAGGTTTCTAGTAAGCATTTAGACTCTCGAATTTCAGAGACACGATGGGACATGATGCCAGCATGACTAGCACAGTTTCACTTACTGGCTCCTTGATAATACCACGTAGCCTTTCTCCTTGCTAATACCACATAACTGGTAGTCGGCTCACGGTGGCTTTGTATAAAAGTTACCCTTATTTTAAATAGGAGAATGTCGAAGCTTCGTCGAGCTTTATTCATCTTTCTCGCTGAGGTGGACAAAGTTCCATTTTTAACATTTTTGAATGTACTCCAGTTTTGTTGTCTGCAGAGGCTCATTTGAAGTGTTTTTACCTTTTTTAGGTGTACATGCTTTACCTAAATGACATTGGAACCGCTGGTAAGTTAAACCTGTTTCATTTCCTTCTAAGTTAAGTAAGCCGAGTAAATGACTTCAACGCCTGACACAGTATCGGATGATAATTTCTTAGCGACAGTGTGTGATTCATCGATGACTTGCCTTAAATACGTGATTCTTGTGAAAACTCGTAGGAAGACTATGAATCCAACAAAAATATTGTCCTTGAGGGTGCTGTAAGAATAGCAGTTCAGCATATGAATATCATGTTCGAAACTTACCCTTAGTACGCGTCTGTATCAGCGAGGAAAAGGTCGCCATAGAGGGCACAGCATAAACAAAATTAGTTTCTTCGTTGCTTCGTCGGTGGTCATCTCAAATTAAACCTGACCCGGTTGATGTTTCAGTTCTCTCTGTATAACATATGACGGTAAGTTATGAGAACGTCACCTTCACCTGACATTACTTCAACTGATCGAGGAGCGTTAGGCTAAGGAATCTTGACCACTGTTAGCAGTATAATCACTGGCTATTGTCAAATTTTGGCTAGGATATTAATAGCTGAAATTGAACTGAGCACTGGGAATCGATATTCAATTTAAACTTCGGAAAACAGTGTTTTCTATCGCTAGGAGGTTGACACGCAAAAACGTCTGGACAGCGAGAACTGAGAAAATTAACTGTTACGACATTAGCGTTATTAACAAAAATAGAGATGAAACTCTCCCACGAAAATCACACGTAAATGACTTCCTGAAGTGCAGAAAAAAAAACTGAGCAAAATGAAACCTCGGCTGATAAGAACTGTTAAATGAATGTTTTTCGGCAAAAGCTCAAGGAGTAAGGAATCTGAGGTTTTCTTCATTTTCTTTCCCAGTTTTTTTTTATCCAAAATGTAATGATATTTAAGTAAAGAACTGTACTCGTGGTAAGCGTTGCGGTTTTCTTTTATAATCCGGATGAAGAAGATAATATGGATTTAATTAGCGGAAGGAAAAATAAATACATTGTTATCTAGTTAGTCCTTTTAACTCTATATTTTTTATTTTCACTCTGTTTTTAAATTATTATTTCCAAGATTTAAATGACATTATACTTATGTTTGAAAAGTTATTTTACAAGGGTTTTTGAAAATTCGATATGTGAAATACTTGCGAAATTGTCCGAACACTTGTGATTGGGAAGGCGTATTCCTGCTGGATGACCGCCTAAGCTTCCCAACATCCGGTTTAAAGCCAAATAATAGTCGTATACTGTATATCAAATGCTGGTTGATAGAGATTGTGTTGTAGTTTCAAGTTTAGTATTATTCTTATCCACCTGGTAAAAGCGCGAGTTCACCCTCGTCCGTTTATGTAGCCGGTTTTGCACTTGGCAGCAGTTTGATGGTGTTCATGTTTATTTTCAATGGTAAAAAAAGCCACAAATTTGGCGATTTGAAAGGCTACGTCTAGAGCACAATCTCTAACACAAACAGAGTATGGAAAACCTGTGGCAAAACCTATCATTAAAATACCAGCCGCTTTATCTTGACAATTTGCACTTGGGGCAAGTTTCCAAAGCTGCATGTACATACTCTTACTTTTGTTTCCTAATACTTAAAGCTTGTCTTTTGCAGATGCTTTGCTTTGCCATCGAGGAGGTTCATTTCCAGATCCAAATGATTGCAGAAAGTTTTACTACTGTCCTATTGCCAATGGAAAAAATGCTTACCATCACACGTGCCTATCTGATAGGCCACTTTTCAATGCAACTTTACAAGATTGTATCAACGCTCCAGGTGCGAGTTCTATTACACTTAAAATTTGTCCTATAAAAAGTATAAAAATATAGCTCCAAACTTACCCCTAAAACTTTCAAGGAGTCAGCCAAAATTTAACAGCATTTTCTGAAACTTTGCACCGACGAGACCTAAATGTTCATTACCCCCTTTGTTTACTGGTCAACTCTCACTTAATGGATAACCGTATTGAGACCGTCAGCTCCCAAACGGACACCCATGTTGCGTACCATTCAGGACTGGTAAAATTCCGCTCTGATATTGCGTTAAGCCTATATGCAGCAAATCAGTCCCTTCTACAGAAAAACAAGTCTCGAAGGCCTGGATCTGGTCTCAAAGATGGGTTGAAACAAAATGGAACACGAATTCTCATTTGGAATATTCCGTCCGGAAAAATAGGAGTACACTTTTCAGACGCTCTGTTGCTCCCGGAAAAGTGGTGTTTCATACTTTACAACAGGAGTTTTCGTGAACTTTTCCATCCAAGAGTTGGAAAAAAACATGGTCTTCATCCAATTACTCATTTACGAAACTTTGGTCATACCTTTTAAGTTTGAGAAGGAGTGCCTTTGAGCTCAGTATTTACAAGGAAAACTGTTAGTAATAAATTATTGGTCAATATGAACAGTGTATTACTTATTAGCTTTCCTTTACATTGTGGATTATTGATACGTTATAAAATTTTCCTAACGTTGAACTGGGAAACTTCAGTTGCTTAAAGAGTCCCATTCTGATTAGGGAGGAAATACGTAATGTTACTTAAGAACACTGAAAGAACAATTATACGCTCATGTGGCAAAAAAAGCAAGATGCCAATTCACGCAGTTTCTCCATAATCAAGAAAGCTGTGAACTTCACGTTGGTCTAGCAATAGGCCTTATTACGTGTTCTCGTCAGTCGATGTCAGTGCAGTGCACTTTTAAGTTACTTTTAATTCAAGTTTAGATTTATTGCTTGTTTTGTGACATGCATCATTGTTTTTTCTTTTTCTTTTGTGCAGTTTTTTGTTCCACTACAGTAAGACCGTCTCCGACACCGTCTCGACAAACTGGTGGGTTGAGCCCCAGTGTTAAAATGTCACCATCGTCAACAGTCAGTATCTATTACACTCCTCCATATACACCATCGTCAACAGTCAGTATATATTACACTCGATACACTCCATTGTCAACTCAAGTGGGATCATTGGTCTCAACATCGACTGTTTCTGGTAAGAAAATCTAATGTACTGAATAATCGATTATTTTCAAATTACAATCAAAAATTTTCCCAAAGAGTTTTTCTAATTTATCTCTGGATTTCTTTTGTAACGTCAAGCTTTTTGTTAGAATTTCCACAAAACTAATTAGCCAACTCACAATTTCAATCTGTCAATAAAGTGTCGCTATAAATAGTATTAGTTGGATATCCAACCGATAAAGAGTCACGCCGTGCCAAGTTTTTTTCAATGCCCCCTTCCGAATGAATCAAGATTTAATTTCTTTTCAATTCATGATTTGCCGACCGTCTGCCCACACCACTTCCTGAAATTTAATGGCACAAGTGAGAGACTGTTTTTACCCTCAAATATTTTTGTTTTTCTTTCCTTCAGTTTCCACATCTTTGAAGCCACCTATCAATCAGATTATTTGTAGGTCAATGCCTTTGGAAAAAAGGGTAGGCGAAACTAATCTGCAACGGCGCCACGGTCGTTTTCATTTTAACGGCACTTAAAATTTATGGCACATTGAAAGTTCTTCAGTCTTCCATAACAGTAATATCTTTAATAGGTGACCCAAGCCCTTTCCCCATGTTTTTTTAACGTTTATACCACTACATGAGAAATTTCTGCAATTTAATTGGCTTAGAGCAATGGTATTTCAGCTTAACTTGAAATACCTACATGTGAAAATTACAAGCCTTTTGCGGGTAGTAGTATAAACAAATAATAGCATAATTTGTACGTTAAATTTGGCACAAATACCACTCGTGATATTTCAAAATTGTATCAAAATCAAAATTACGCCTAACAATTTTGAAATATCTCTCGTGGTATTTATGCCAAATATCACTACTAATCATGCTATTACCTGTACTAATTCAACTTGGGCTTAAAGGGGCTGTGTCGGCACGGCTAGCTAATTAGGTTATCCTGCCAATAGCCCACGTTCGATATATTAAAATTGTAATATGTCCTCCGAGGCTTTCTGGTCATTTTTCCTATATTTGGTTTTGTTTTCTTTGCGCTCAAGTCTCTTCTGGGAATTTCGAGACAATGGAGTCGTTAAACATTTACAATTTTGACCTTAAATGCAATGAAGTCATGTTAGAATTTTAATATATCGAACATGGGCTATTACTCGTCATTATTCGCGATGGAACTTAAAAAAATAGAAATAAATTGTGAATTACAAAATCACAGCTTTGTTTCGAACAGGTATGTCTCTCAAGCATTATAGCAACCGCTACAAACAAGAACTGAATGTACTTTGAAGAACTATTAGGCTAGCAAGTTTTTGCAAAAAGCGATTGCACCGTTCCAATCTTCTTCATGTTTGTTCATCATTGGCTCTTTTTGTATTTTTTATGTTATACGTTTCGAGTTGTTATTTTTATGTTACACTCAATTTAGTGGCAGTTCCCAGTGATTGAATTTTGATAAATTTCATGACACAGTTTCTTTAATTCAACAAAATCCAAGTTTAATTAATCCAAGGTTATTTTTTCCATCCTTAAAAAAAATACTCAGTTTGGTGCTTTCCTATTTTACTAAAGAACTATTTCGATGTTTCACTCAATTTCAGTATAATTAAGTAAGTTGCCAAGTATCTAAAATGATATTTATCGGCAATTTTTTAATTACTGTGGCGATGTTTCTAGTTGCGTTGCAAGCAATAATTAAACTAAATATTTTAAATTTTTGTCACTACTCTAGCCTAAGAAAACAGCCGACATTTCCTGACGCCTCCACTTGTCTCCCCGTGAAATGACGACGCGTCACTAGGCTCCCACGCAGGCGTTCCTAGGGAAGCTCGTTTTTCATCCCACCCCTGGGGAGGGATGAAAGACGAGCTCCCCTAAAAATGCCTGCGTGGGAGGCTAGTCACTATCCAGATCTGGGTGGTGCTTTGGGGCGCTTTCCATTCAACAAAAATTTCGGTTTGAAATTTTGGAAACCTCACGAGCTCAATGGAAAGTACATTCAGGTTCCAGAGACCCGACCCCAAGGCACCCGCGCGTTTTGTTATTAGGCAGATTTTAGCAACAGATCGGGAACGTCAGTTGACGACGGTGCGCGCAAATCAAACAACTGGCTTGACCAATGGCACAGCGGCAAATTAAGCACCGGAAGTCGAGTTTAGTCCTTACCGCGCGCTTTCCCGTCGTCAAATGACGTTCCTGTTCTGTTGCTAAATCAGTGGCTTCGCATCAGACTCTAAAAAGAGGAGAGTAAATACTGTTTATATCCTAAAGAACACTCGACCGTCGAAAAGGGGCGGTGGAAAACTTAAGGCGGAGGAATCCTATTTCGTGTAGAAACCCACATTTTGAAAGCTAAGAGTATGAATGCTAGTGAATGTAAAAAAACTTTCGTGAATTGAAGCGATACGTTTCTCAGAATATTCGAAAGATTCGAAGCAATTCCTGGAACTGTACGGTAAATAAATTCGGTGTTTTGGTCAAATTTGTATTCAGCGAGGCTTTGTTGCATGTATTTCAGCTTGATAAACTGTTTTAGTTAAATATCGTGGACAGGTTTAATTTCAGACAGATAATACGCTGATTCTCACGGACTTTTATACAATTGTAGCTTGATTACACACATTTTGTTTTCACCTACATGTCGAGTTGCATCAGTTATTTGACAGTGTTAATGGCAAATATCAAAAATCGAAAGAAATTGCAACTGATTCAAACTATTTGAGATGCCATGCTTTACTCTCAGCACTTCACTTTCCTTTCGAAACTACTTGTTTCAAAAATGGTGTATAAAAGGGTAATGGACTGAACCTCAGGGCAGAGCGTCTCCTTATGAAAGTTTGTTGAGTACCCCTCCCCCGTCTGCCAGTAGTAGATCCAAGGCATAATAATTAGAGGAAAAATTATGGTGACCTAATTTTACTCCGATACTGAATCAACTCCCTGCACATTTTATTTTCTCGTGTAACATTATGAATAAATGATACTGGATTTCAAATTTTAAGAAGATACAACTACAAATAAAAAGTATTTTGGAACGTGCTCGTTCTTCTAAAGGCTCAAAATATTATATGATGAGGAACGTGTCAGCGGGTTTCTGGGTGTCCAGCCTACAATCGGCGACAAAATTGTTGAGACATTGTACTTAAATAGGGTAATTTCGGAGAACAAAAGAATCCGCATCCCTCCCCTGTCCCCTCCATTCAAAGTTGGGGTGTTTGTTGTTTTCTACAGGTAGCTAGAACAAGGGCACAACATTGCACGGAGGGGATGGGGGAGGAAAGCTATATTTCCTTCCTTTGAAGTTAATTAAACGTAAAAAAGCCCAGTTTTGGGCGAAGTGTCTCAACTCATTTTGTCGCCGATTGTAGTCCTTGCTTTTAGTAAGGTTTCTTGGTGTAAAATATTTATTTTAATCCTTTTATATTTTTCTCATAGTTCACTTGTTTCAAAAATGAGGCTAAAATTTCCAGGGAGAGACTGAAAAATGGCACTTCAACCATAGTGATACGGGAAATATTAAAGGTAATCTTGAGAATTTGAAAGTCATTCCAGTTTTGGCCTCCGGTATCATGACTTGACGCATTGCGACTAAGCTATTACCACTTTGGGAGTATAACTATTTAGTTGTAAGTTGGTGAGGAAATACGTTTTGAAAGATGAATAATTGACTAAAGAACGAACAAATCATGAAAGATTAGCAACATGGATGAGGACGACACCCTCCGGGCATACTTCTTCATATGGTACGAACGCCGAGTCCAATAATTGTTATATAGTTTAATAAGAATATTTCAAACTACCTCAATCGATGTAAAATTCCTTGATAACTCGCCTGTTCCTCGGCATTGATATCACATGTTATTCAAATGGCTCCTGACAGGCCGCATCCTTCGAATGGTATTTTTGCTCTTATTGCTCGGTGTTTTGGCCATGGTTCTGCATGCATTCCACCTTTGCAAAATATGTGAAATTGTCCACCATTTTACCCATCTCTACCAAAACAGCTGAGTTACTACTGGAAGAACTGGAAAATTCACAGAGATCGTAATATGTCTATAAATCGTGAATTTACAGACTTTTGAAAGAGTGAAAATTTTCCCTACCTTTACATTATGGAATACAAAATGTCCCCCAGTGTAAAATCATTTTTGCAGACATTTTATACGGTTTTTAATATCTTTATATGTAGGATGTTTATAAAATGACTGTAAATTTCAGCTTCGGAAATACCGCGCCTCCTGCAATCCCTTTTAATGCCAATGTCTGTACAGTTGATATCAGTTGTACTAATATCGGCAAATATATTTTGAATTAGGTAAACGGTGGCTGGTTAAGAGAAAAATATTTTAAGGGGATGTTAAAAAACTTCATTTAACACTAAGCGCCTTTAACCACGCATTTTTTAATCATGAGTATGTCTTTTCCTAGCAACTGGAGCGTTTACAGGCGTGTTTACCTGTTGAAAACTGAGTTATTTACGAAGCGATATTTAAGCTAATTATGCAACTAAAAGTCACCAGCAGATCGAAGTATTAAGTTGGAGATAACGTCTACAATTTCTCCACATAAGGCTAATGATAAATCATATGTTTTAAAAACTTCTTCATAGGCCACAGCTGATGACGCCGAAGTCGTAATTGATGGTCTCGGTTCCCGTGAAAACAGTTCGACTGCATTCAATGCATTTGAAGTAATAGCAGTGCTAGAAGACGTTTGGAAGGATGTCATAAAAAGATTAAAGAACCGCAACGAGACCATACGAATAACAACTGAGACCTTTGCGGGTAAGACCTTTTTGCAGCAAACAAGATTATCAATTGTTATTACTGTTGTCAGTAACAAAATTGACCTGAACTAACGCGTGATTTGATTTTTAATAAGTGGAAAGAAATTGAAAGTATCGGAAATTGGATATGTATATGGGCTGTTTCCGCTTTTAAATTTCCCGCGTGGAATCGTTTCAAAAAAAATATGTTTTTCGGTCCCACTCTTGTAAAGTTTCACCGCTCTTTTGTATGGAACAGTGGCAGCAACCAAGAAACGTCCGATCAATTTTAGGTTTCTGGGAAACTGCCCACCTACCCCTCCCTTGAGCTAACATTAACACTTACTTCTTATTTAGGGCAAAATGGTAGCTTAGGGGAGGGGTAGGTGGGCAGCCGAAAGGTCATAATCATTCATAATGTTAGGAAATTCCCTTGTTTTCAACTCAACACTATTTGTTTCCTTTTACGTTAAATCCTTGAATCGAAGGCAGTAATTTTGAGTTCATTCTCAAAACCACAATTGGTAATCTAATAATAGCGGGGCTCCCGCGCGCGCGAAGCGCGCGTGGGACAGAGCCCCATACCCATGGAATATGGTCAACCTCTTTTCGTTTGGTTGTCACGTGATTGACCGAGCGTACGTACGTACGTACGTACGTACGTACGTACGCGTCTACAGATTGTATGGGTGGGGTAGGGAGACTATCAAAAGGAAGGGAGGGGTGTCTCAGGCGTGTCTTGGCAAGCCCACATCTTTAATATAGGACATTAACAATATGGTCAATTGACAGCTGTCCAAACAGGATAGCCACTGACCAGTATCCCATGACCATATCACGGGTTCATGTGTCAACTCATCGAGGTGACGTGATTTATTTGGAAGCTGTCCGCTGACCAGTTAACTGTTTTACTAGATCGCGAACAACGTTCAATCTCATACTTTTACTAGTTTGGAAGCACAGGAAAACTGATAATGCACACATATTGGACATCAATGTTTTGATCAATTGACAGCTGTCAAAACAGAGTACCCGCTGACCAGTATCACTTGACCGTATCGCGGGCTCAGGTGTCGACCCGTCGAGGTCAAGTATTTTTTGAAGTTATCCGCTGACAAGTAAACTAGTTTTCAAGTGATCGCAGGCTCAAGTTCAATTTTTTTTTCTTAATTCATATGAAATATGTTGTGTTTATGTGCTGCACAATTAAAATTTTGATTGCAAACTGACCTCGGACGTGAAAATTCAGCCAGCTGTTACAGGCAGGGAAGACAGTTGCTTTTTTTTTTTTCTCACAATGGTCACGCGTTGGTCACGCTCTACGTCCAATTTTTATGCTCTGATTGGTCAAAATTTGACATGTGAGTTCATGCGCAAAATTTATGCAGCATCTTGAATCTTGTTTACTTTAACAGCTGAAGCTGACAGAGTTTTGTGTCAACTTGTGATGTTTTTAACTGTCTTTTTCCACTGGATGTACAAAATGAAATTCAGCTGCTATCAGGAGTCTTCTGTTACTCATGGCTAGTTTGTTTATTGGGTTTTGGTTGAGAAAACGTCGCTTGTCAAAGTCGGAAATCCGATTTCGGATGGCATCGTTTTCGTTTTCACCTTGCTTGATGCGTAAGAGGATTGCAAAGTCTGAAGCGATACTGGCTTTACCTGATAACTTTCAGGAGCTGCATTTCGAATGGTAAGCCAGAGAAATTATTGTATTTCATGTTTGTTTTTGTATCTAATTTAATGAAGTGGAGCGTAGTTTATGCGGGAATTTAGTTTATGCGCGTTTGTAAGTTTTGAGACAACGATCTCACCGAGTATCTGGTTTGATATAATCTTACAGAACTTTAAAAAAGCCTTTAGACAGTTTCTCACCGCAAATATAAAGAAAATGTTCCAAAGAATCTTTAGTTATAATTCTAGCCGGAAAAGAAAGCTTTGAGCGATTTTCTTGCCTCGAGTTCGTCTTTGAAAAAAAACAAACACCGGGAAGCTGGCTTAAAACATAAACTTCAGCAAACTTAAGCTTGAAGCTTGAAGACTCAGGATATTTAGGGACACTTTAATACTTGTCTTCCTGAATGAAAATTGTTGTCTCTGTTTATGTTTCACCGAATTATATTTCTTTTATTGATTGTTGGTAGTCTCTCTTGCAATTTTAATCGCTATGCCGATTGTTTTCAGTCGTTCAGTGAACATCGCTTGCAGGAGTTCTCAAAATGCCGCGCGTTAAACCATCAAATAAAAAATAAACATGATAAATTCTTTATTATCTTGGAGCGTAACTCTGTTAATGTTCATTCAAACACTCGCTAGAGCTCGCACTAAAAAGTGAGAACCGGATGGCCGTATAGGTGTGATTTTTGGAAATTTTTTTAACAGTTTATGAATATTGAATAAGAGCAATTTGTATTGTGAAATACTGCTTTCTGTCCATGGTATAAAAGGTTGGTTTACACGCACCCAGATTTGTTGGCAAGATTTTGCAAAGTAAACTTGTCGAACGCCAAAACGTTGGCCTGATTTTTTTTTCTAAGCCTAATTGATCTACGGTGATCAATAGCCATTACGGCTCTTAAATGTGATAAAAGATGATTACCAGTTTTTGAGTGTACATATGAGGCTATCAACTCGATGTAAGATTTGGTTCCCTCTTGGGCTGTTTGCAAATTATTTTTCTCTAAAATCAGGTAGCCTTACCCTCAAAAGTCACATAAATGTGCTCTAAAGTTAACTGAATTGTGGAATTCGAATACAAGTTTATTGTTTAATTTAAATTATAAATTTACTAATGGGAGCCTCGCTTTTAGCCCTGGCTAAATCTATATATTATTGTTATTTTGTCATAGTGAATGTATTATTTATTCGATCATTATCAACATCAAATCATAATCATACTGTCTTGTTTCGCTAAGAATAGTCATTGAAATAATGAGTTAACTGATTTGTCTTTTTTTCATATTCAGTGCTTGAAACTGCGAGAATCAGTGGCGCTTATGAATTTCCAGGGCCAATTGACAAGGCGTCTACTTACATGGCTCTGCCGCAAAAGCTGCTTAGTGAGGACAAATGTAAGTACATGTGGACTGAAATTCAATAACGTCAGTTCCACTTGAAATTTTGGTGTTCATGCTTCAATTATCTTTATCACTTTTCAGGTACATTGTCGCATATTTACGGTGGTTTGAACACAATATTTAAGATATCCGTCATCTTTTTACTCTTGTAAGGATTTTCAGGTTAAAAACAAAGTCACGTGGTTTCTCAGGAGACAAACAACTGATAAAAGCTGCCACTACAAACTGTCAACAGAACAACAACAGAAAGTGAAGATCTTGCAATTTCAAAAACGACATTGGCAGACTATGGGTGGAGGTGACCTTTGTCTCGACAATGGCTTGTATTGGAAGCCTTTACTTTTTCTTTGTTCTCTATGAAACCACGTGAAATTCCTCTTATCCCATTAATTTTTGGGAGCGTTCACAAAATGGTGGGTATCGAGAATGAGGTCTATTTCTATCTGGAAGCATTGGGTGTACAAAGAATATGTGTCAGGTAATAAGGTTTACTAAAAACGAGGAAGTATAAAATCTAGGCCTCTTACTTCCTGAAACTATTTCAATAAAGAAAAACGAATTGAATTCTAAAGGAATGTATCAAAGTTCAGGAAGAGAAGAAGAAAGTTGTTGTCTTCTGTTCTTGTCCTCGACAAAACGTGAAATTTGGCACATTCACGTTGCAGTCGTGCAACGACGGTAAAGAAATTTACAAACTACTGTACTACTGACCTCTTGACAGAGTGTGTGACATATTCTTTTTACAGACCCCTGTCGTACCTTTGGTGCTTTGTATTGGAATTTACATTCTGTGGTTCCAGTCCGAATGTAAGTATTATCTTCCAGTCACACTGGATCCACACTGGTTTCCACTATTTTTGAAAAGCGGTGGTATTTTTGAAAGATTTTGAATTTTAAATTTTTAGATTATCCACGTACTAACTCTTCTAACCCCTTTGCGCGCCTTCTTTGGTGACGCAGTTGTTTTTCTTCGATCCGCCCTTTTTAAAATCGTTTCCTACGCCATTCACCAAGGTGTGTATTCATTTATTAACTTATTCACTCACCTTTGCAGGAACGGTACAAATCGGACTCTGAAGTTGAACAGTCACGTGATCTCCATGCGACTCTGTGTCCCGTTGGGAAAAGGCTCAAAGAGTTACGTTACGATTGTAATGGAACATATTAAGGTAAGAACTCTTTGACGATACATATTTTACATATTACTGTAATGAGGAAAATAAACCTCGAGTACCTCAAAGGTGCACGATGAAGTCTTTGAGCAGTTTGACACTAAAATTTAGTGTAATGTCCATCCCACGAATCACTGTCAGTTCAATGCGCTTCTTAATAATGAAGCTGCCAAGAATTTACTCGGTACTGCTGTACTAAACCGTGATTCGTTTACTAGGTCCTCAAAGACAATGATTTCACATACTGTGCTTACTGGGACTTTTCTTTGACGTAAGTGGAGGTTTTACTTTCCTTTCTTTTCACATTATTCTAGTAGCGGTCTAGTTTCTAGTAAATGTTGCCTTTCCAAAGTCGTTGTTTATTTTCCTAACACTCCATAAGCCGAGTTTTACCTGAAGGTTTTGGTGGCCAATGTCGTATCATCGTGGAAAGAGTTGGAAATGCTCCAACTTTTTAGCTTTTTTTACTTCTTCCCCCACACCCTGGCTCAGTGTTGTTCAAAGCTAAAGTGTTTGTGCCAGGAATTGTTCTGTTATAACCCAACATTGAATGGGGTGGAAACGGGGAGGGGGGGTGGGGGGGGGGGAAGTATTTAGCACATTTGATAAACTCTATAAAATGACACAATGATGCTGTTAAGTTGAACAAGTCTCTGTATTGTTACCCTTTTTTCTACTAGACGTTAACGTGGTCTCAAGACGTCTTAAACACTTTAACCTCCCTAGCATAAAACGGTCAATGCCCCGCCCCTAACAAAACACAAAGAAACAAGAAGACAATTCTTATTTTGCGATCCTCAAAAAGGACGAAGAAAACGAACATGACATTACAAGGCTATTCTATTCTTTAGCTCTACAGCTGGGGAATCTCTTTCATTTACAAAGTGCTTCCTTGTCATTTTTGTAGATTTTCCTTTGTTTGCAATCTTGTGTGTGACAACAATAATGCTGACCGTACCGTCGACAACACCATAAAACTGCCGCTATTTTTGTTTCGTTGTTCTTAAAGGAGCTATTTGCCTTCTTTTTAAAAGCAAAAACGCGTTCTTGCATCACATTAATTCCAACAATTATGGTCCAGTTTTGTCATTTAAGACTATTTTTAAGCATTCAAACTGTTTCCTGTCATCTCTTCGGACGGATGAACGTGGATTGAAACTTTTAAAGTTGGGCCTACTTTTTCAGGTTTTAATATTATGCTTGCGAAAATCAACTTCTTTATATAAAAATGTCTTCTTCAACACTCTACAGGAGCATTTTGTCCATGGGTAAGGGCACTTATAGGAATGACTTCCGCACATAATTAACTTAAAACAGCAATAGGGCCATTTATACGAAGAAAAACAAGACGCTGTGTGAGCGTATATTTGGGCGTGGTCGTGCTATGGGTATGATACTTTGAACATGCCTTATTGCAGCTAAAGAACTGTCATCATATCTTACCAGAGAAGACAAATCCTTTACTCCACTTGTTTGCTGAACCACACAGCTTATACAGTATGTCCCAATCCACAACAAAAATAGTGCCATTTCACGACAATGTTTGAAAATATGCAAATCTTCAATGCAGACATGCTTGGAGCCAAATTGCAACATAGGACATAAGTGGTTACAGCCCGGAGAGTAAGGTTTATCTCACCTCCACTGATACTGACAGATGTGTTTTCACACCCATAACTTTGTACAGTGTATTCCGGTTACTAACAAGGGCAAATAAAGTTCCTTAAGTCCAGTATCCACAAGGATTAATAAGAGAGTAACACGTTGCATAAACTGCTATCGGGCAGCACTGTTTACAGGAACATTGGTAACTATTAACATTTGATATACTACAATTTTCAACATTGCTTGAGAAAAGATGAGGTTCAAAGGTGGCAATATGTACACCTTTAAGTTCATATATATCCTCATTCCTATGCAGAGTGTGAAAATACTGTACTAATTTATGCATGGATGGTATTTCCAACAATACACATGTCCCTTCACTATGACTGTTATGATACATATCTCTAGCATGAGAATCAAATACATTATATACCCCAGCCTCAGTGCTGTAGATACCAGCACCAATAATTGTCACCGTTAAAATGAATGAGTTGTAGTTCAGTGCCAAGAGTGTTGGAAATGCTGTAACCTGTGAGTGGCATATACAGTAGTGATGGATGTTACAAGTGTAACTGTCACTGTATTCAAGGTGGAAAAATTGCTCAAACACTGTAACCGTTCCTGGCAATTCTGTTAACATTGACATGGATTGTCTTGCAAGCAGTGACAGACAAGAATATAATTGAATACCAACAATCATTATTTGAGTCATATCATCAACTGAAGTCATCTTTGTTATCTTACTGTAAATTAAAGCGCACGGACTCATTGCGACACATCGTTGTCCACCATTTTCCCCAAATCCTGTAACATTTCCTTGACAGTATGGAGCATTAATTGTTTTTGTAGCATCTACATAAACTGAAGGTCCTGGATTCTTCTCTGTATCAGTACAAAGCTTAAAGTGGCCAAAATTAACCCGGTGAATCAAACTGTTTTAAGCACTATAAAATGGATAATTACATGTACAGAGGGGCAAATTCTTACTTAGAAGCCTATTTGGATATCTCATTCCACCTAAATCGCCTGTGCTCTGCTGCTTGGACGACAGATGCACCTTCCCTCGTTTACAAACTAGTTTTGTAGTTGTCCCTTAAGTAAAAACCTCACATTGTTACTGTTACTTCTGTACCTGTTTAAGTGTAAACTTTTTCTACTTTTAACGTAAAAATGAATTTACCACGACAATGGTGTATTTTTCCGAATACTCTTCCATACAAAAAGTGTCACTTTCCGTGTTTTCTGTAACAAAGATTTTAATTGTTCATTGGTAGTCTGCTAGGGGCATGACGGTATAACCGGTCATTTTGTTCCATGTTCAGATCGTTGACATCGTTCCAAGTCAGATCATTCCAATCAATAGTCAGATCGTTCCATAAAATAGTCAGTTCGTTCCACAAAAAAGTCAGTTCGTTCCACATATGAAAAGTCAAGTAAGTCTTTCTAAATTTGTTGAGTGAACTTTATCGAGAAGAAAAAGGTTTCGTTCATACCACAAGCTGATAAAATAATAATCGATCCAAAGTCGATTCGATCCATCCTAAATCGTTAGAAAACATACAAGAGACGATTTTAACCAGCCACGGGCTTTAACATTTAAACTGCTGCTTTGAGAGTTTTGAGCTAGAATCGATCGATAGTTTTGAAAGATATAGCACAACAAGTAAAAGCTATGCCGCTCTGAAGGTACAGTATTTCGAAGCGCTTGTAACCTAAATATTTCTTCGCAGCGGCCGATTTATGCAAATTTTGAAAACAACGCGAGTTTCGAATTACAATCTCGATTTTATGGTAATTTTTCATGCCGAAAATATAATGGACTAACCTAGTTTAAACCAATGAAATTGTAAGTCCTGTTATAAATAAATTTCCCACGACGAGATCTCAATTCAACTTCTTTTATTTCCTCCACAACACAATTTTCCTTCTGTACAACTAGCTCATTACCTTCTCTTGTCGTCACCTCGCTGCCATCAAAACACTAACACAAAACTTGCTGATAATGCAAAATCCCGACGCACAGCATCGTATGAAAAAACACAACACGCAATACAAAAACAAGTAAATTAACTGTCACCCTGCTAAACAAAGTTGAAATAATAAAAAGGTTGCAGTTATCACAGTAGTTCCAAAAGAAGCCTCAGTCCCTTTTGGTTTCAATTGTTGACAATCGTCTCTTCCTTCATCGGAACAGATTTTTATCACGGGCAACTCGTTGTGCTCCATAATGCAAAAATCAAAATCACTATTGTCACAGTGATAACCAGCTACACAAACCTTGCGACTCTCAAACTTGTTAAACATTCCTCTGTTAAAACTCTTATCCATTTTACACGTACACTCCTGACATTCCGATTTGTTATTACGTCTATGGGGTCCATGAGTCTTTCATGTCATTGAATGTCTTGATAATTTCCTTTGTTTTTCTTTGAGTTCGCGGACCAGCCCATTCCGAAAACACTCAGTGTTATTTTTTTAGTGTGGGCCTACCGCGAACAGTGTGTGCATTTGTAAGTTTAACCCGGGATAACATGATTGAACAATACTAAAATTAACACGTTCCCTGAAACGCCGCGGACAAATGTTATCCAACCTGCTTCTTACTGCTGCTTCGAAAAATTTCGGATCAGACGATATCCAAATCGTCCCTCATTGGATCATCCACTCGACCTAACAAAATCGACCAATCACAAAAAATGGACATAATATAAAGAAAACAGCAAATTCAGATGACCTCTTAGGAAACAAGCAATTAAAACTGTCTTTCTATGATTGGTGCATTTCGATCCTCTCGTCAAAAAAAATGTCAGACGTCAATCATCTTAGCGGACCTCTTAGGAAACGAAAGTTTTCTTCAACGGGTTCAAAAGGTCATTGTTTATGATTTGTGATTGGTGGATTTCGATCCGTTTTTTGTTTCAAGGTTCGTTGCTTGCGATCTTATTGTGACCAAAACCCGACGTTTATATTCCAAATATTTTTGATAGATTTCATCCCTGGACTTCAAACTTCCAAATCTCGATGAGGCAAAAATACTGAAGATTCAGATTAACTTTCGAGATCGTAAAAGTGCGATTAAGTGCCGTGTGCAAGCAGAGCTTTCTTTCCCACATGCCTCTTACCTTGTACAAGACGTTCGCATGGCAGACATTCGCCTCGCTTCGCTTGTTTACTTGCCTTGTTTACGTTAGCACGTATTGCGTGCCTATTGCACATTTGCGTCAAAACAAGCCGTTTCCATTACTCTATTTGGGCCACGCCCAAATAATAAGACGCGTCTTACATAAGACGCGTCTTAAGACGCGAACTGTACCATTTATACGAGCATGTCTTATCTAAGACGAGAACAGCTCATATAAATGGTTTGCGTCTTATTTCTGTTCTTGACTCGTTTTCATGTGAATGTTGCCCGTAGCAACGGCAATCCAACATGGCGCGCCAAAAATTAACGCATGCGTACTATGCGTTCGCGTCTTATGTAAGACGCGAAGGTCATTTATAAGAAGTTTTTCTCGTCTTAGCTAAGACGCGTCTTATCTAAGAGCAGGTGTTAAGGGCTGCTCTAAAATAAGACGCTTCTTAGCTAAGCCGCGTCTTATTTTAGACGGAATGTGCCGTTTATACGGAAAGTTCGCGTCTTATTTAAGACGCGTCCTACGTAAGGCGCGTCTTATTTTTCCTCGTATAAATGGTCCTAGTGTCTTCTTGACACAGCCCTTTCAATGCGAATTCCTAAAACTAAAATATATTCAAGTCAATTTTACTAAACTATCCTTACATTTTCACCAGCACTGTGCATGGCAAAGGGGCTTGGTCACGTGATGGATGTCACGTCATCACTGAGGGCTCTAACAGAACACATACAGCGTGCGCCTGCGACCATCTCACCAACTTTGCTGTACTTATGGGATCTGAGGAAGTCTCGGTATGTGCTTTTTACAGTTGAAGTTCCCTTACATACACGGACCTCTCTGAAGTTGACGCGTATGTACTATCCGTTTTGAAAACTGCATGTATTGCAGTATAAGGACTGCTCGTGTCATAATAAAGTTGATTAGGTTACGCATGATATCGTTAATAAATTGTATACAAATTATACTGTAATATCATGAGTTGATAAAAAGAGACTGACAAGAATAAAGATTGTTGACCATGATTTCAACCTTTTGTTCGAAAGGCTGTTTCTTAGTTTGTTTGTTTGTTTTTTGTTTTTGATCAGTTCCACATGACTTTTAAAAAGCTTCTACTGACTTTAATTTGTTGAAATGTTTCTTTTACACCTGCAGCTTTCAGAAGCCAATCAGTTTGCTTTGATGCTCATTACGTACGTGGGTTGCGGCTTGTCCTTACTGGGATCAGTTGCTGCCATTGCATCACTCATACTCTTTACGTAAGTTGTCATTAACGCATGTACTGTTTTATATTTATTCAGTTTTTTTTTACACATTTTACGCATTTCACGCACTGAACATGAATCAGAAAGGCAGGCTGTCATGATTTCTTAAGTTAGGCTATGTCTTCGCTATAGAACATTTACACATGACGTCACGGCGGCCATGTTGGTGTTCTAAAACAATGAAACGGCGGCCATGTTGGTGTTTCAAACCAACAACTTGGGAGTCGAACTCTTTTCTTATGTAAACGCCTTCTTTTGTTCCAATGACTTTGAATACATGCGGGCCACGTGAGTGAAAACGCTCTGTATCGGATAGGTATTCGTGTCGACAACTTAGCAACAGCGCGGGACTAGAGCAAGTTTTGCCTGAGCGGTTGGCCGAGAGGGTATGGTGCACTTAATCCCAATCCTCACTCCTACATATTTACTTCCGGTTCAGTGGATTTGAGGCCTCTCTCCTACTTCTTCACTTGCGCTACGGTTCAAATACCTGTTCACGCTACACCAAAGTGTAGCACAGAAACTAGGGACTTTAAGATCCAACCACGCGACCGCTAAAAGAACGTCGCTTAAAAAGTGAATTTACGTTCTTTCAGTCTTAACAGCGATTATTCCTACCCACTAACTTTGTCAATTGTAGACGAACCTTCCTGAAGCTGAATTTCAAGGAACCATATTCAAGCTCAGAAAGAGAAATAAAATTTCGTCGTTGTTTGTTTACGTTCTCCATAAAACGCGAAATTAGGCATTTTCACGTCCTAGTCGTGCAAAAACGGGAAGGAAATGTACAAAAAAGTGTGATGCACGTGCGAAGTTGTTCGTTGTCCTCCGCGTCGTTGGATCTTAAAGTCCCTACTATTCCATATGTGACGCTCCACTCTCGAGATCGGCTCGGCGCAGCTTCGCTCTGTTGCAAAAATCGCACCGAAATCACCGTGATGGGCTATAAATGGTCAATTTTCAAATACTTTAGAACAAACTTTATTAATTTAAAGCGGGAATTAGCTTAGGTGAATTCAAAATTTGTTTATCCGACGTGCTGGGTGTGCTGAAGGTATAAGTCGGGTGGGAACTCAACTCAACTCACCACTTGCGAATCTACCTTGTTGCCTCCCAAATTTTTTAAACACACTGTCTTCAGGTTATGCAATTTTTTGTGGGGAGGAGGGGGGGTGGGGCAAACAAGGTGCATTGTGGGAATGCGCAAGTGCTAAATCGACTTTTCAGACTTTTCGGATCGATATTACAATGGAATATTTCCCGGAGCAACAGAAATTGTCAAATATTAGTCTTGTTTTCCCTGTCGGAAAGTTCCGAACGGACATCCGTGTTCCATTTCTTCAAACCAATCTTTGACACCAGTTTCAGGCTTTTAGGGCCGTTTTCGGTGAATGCGATTTGTCTGTGTAAACAATAAACGCAATTTCAGATCGTAATTTGTCAATCCTTAAATTTGCTTACCATTTGCCCAAACTGTGAACCGACCCGTGGTATTATTCAAGAAACTAATGAACCCTATCCCTTGTCCACATTGTCTCACCCATATTTTCAGTCAGGCGGTGTTTTTGCTGTGATAAATTTACTAACTTTACTCTTCAACAGGCAGCTCAACACAGATCGTCATATAATACATGGAAACCTACTGATCTCCATAGCAATCTCTCAGACCATATTCTTAGCTGGCATCGAACAGACCAGGAATAAGGTATATATCACATATATTTAAGACTTGTTTATATTTTGAATCAGGTTATTCTCTCGTTTCTCTCAAGAATTAGCACTAGTCATCATGCGACTCAGTGGTAGAAGTGTTTTCCTTATGTGGCAGCTTAGCGTTTCTTAAGATGGCTTTCGATATCATGCAATCCAATGCAGTAGGACAACTCAAGTTAAGGAAAGAGGAAGAAATATTCTTCCTATGTAAGAAAGACGTCCTTTTTTCTTGATATTTACTGGTACGTGTATCATACCAACGCTAAACAATAACCATGGGCTTTCGTTACGTTTTTTTCCGTTTTTTTTTCTTTCTCCGTGAATGTACAGCGAAAATGCTTCATTATTTTTACCTCGTGATTTCCTCATTTTTTGATATTTACTGGTCCGTGTACTATACGAATTCTAACCAATAGCCATGGGGTTACGTTTCCTTATTATTATCATTTAATTATTTATATTTTTTATAGCTCCAATGTAAATTTACAGCGATAATGCTTCATTATTTTTACCTGGTGACATTTGGCTGGATGCTGTGTGAAGGTCTCCATATTTACTCCATGGTCATAAAGGTGTTCAACGTTTCATCGAAAATATACCACTACACTGTGCTAGCTTGGGGTATGTATCCTAGGCCTATCTTCAGTTTTAGTGGATAGAAAATTAAGATTGTATAATACCAAGGGGGTAGTGCCCCTTCAAACTCTCTTGATATTTAGCAGTTATCGAATGAGGCTGAGTAGCATGTGAAGAATTATGCAGACCGTGGAGGATGGTTGTCCACCAAGGCTGAAAACATCCTCCGAGATCTGCATAATTCTTCACATCATATAAAAGCCGAATTCAATATTTCAAAGGTCTTAACAAGCTTGCCTTCTTGTTCGATTCTCGTAGACTTTCTTTAAAACTTTGGCCTATTTCTCTGCGAACGGCTTGCTGCATTCTGATTGTCTGTTTTTCTAGTGAGGCGTCATTCAAAATACTTTTCATTCTGTGGCTCTTTCTGACTACGTCTTTCACTTTTTTAAAGGCGTTCCAGCATTGATTGTTATGATATCTGTTGCAAGCAGGTACTCTGATTATGGGACGAAAACCAGGTAAACAGTACAGTTAATAACTGCATTTTGCAGAAGCCTTTACGTCCTGGTTATTTTAGCGGCAAACGTTTTGTTACATTTTGCTTTTAGTTGCTGGATTTCAACAGAAGGAAACACTGTACTTGCCTTTATCATTCCTGTGACTGGAACTATTTTGGTAAGTTTGGAGTTTTTCGAAATGGTTCTTTAGACATTAATAGAACGCTTTCAGGGGCGTATCCAGCCTATAAACCTGTAGGCCCGGGCCTACAAATTTTTGGTTTGATCACTCTACCTCTTGCTATAAATTATGCGTTTTGGGAGTGAGCTAAAAAGCATAAGAGGTCAAAGTGTTAGTGAGGACCGTACAGGCCTACAACTAGTCGACAAGCTGGCTACGCCCCTGGCTTTATTCCTTGATCATGAACAACAACGGAGTTACCAAAGAGACACTGGTTAGAGGCAACAAATACAAACCACAGTGAAGAGATGGGCTTCCTAGGGGTTCGGAGGGGGGGGGGGAGAAGTAGACACCGAGAAGACTTTCGAAAAGTCCTTCCTCCTAGTAAGTATGGCGAGGGCTTACCCTAAGCGGCCTAAAAAGCCCGCTCCGCTCAGCCTTTTCTGCGGTGAAACTCGTTAGGCTGACTTGAGGCAATAGAAGCCAGGGAAATGGCTATGTGCTTCTGGAAAACAAAGGATATCTTGTGATAACTCCAGGAAATTCCGGAAGAACTTTAAATTTTTTTTTTTCTTGAAACAGGCCTTAGGATACATTGATTTTCCAACTTGGAGGAATATCCATTCCACATTCCATCCCTCAACCAACCCTCTCCTGAGAGGACCTCACTGAAAAGCGTTATTAGTTTTTATTATTATTATTATTATATTATTATTATTTCCTTTACTTTCGACCAAAACGACTATCATACGGAAAAATGCATGAAGTCGTTGAATTCTAATGCGAGGTCACAATTGTAACAAGAGACAACATGAAGACGAGCCTCAGGGCTGTATCTGGACATTTTGTCACGTGAATCGACTGACGTCACGTGACAAATTCGATCGAGAAAAGCAAAGTGATAACGCAAAAGCATGTAAGAAATGATTGGCTTAACGGACTCAGAAGAAGAACTTCAAAAATTCTGTGCTCCTTTTTTCTTTCAAAGTGAGACCTAAAACGTTACGTTTTACGTTCTGTAACATTTATTTTGATTTTATTGTAATTCAGGCAAACCTCGTAATTTTAGCGCTGGTCTTAAAGGAGATTTGTCGTCTACAGACATCACAAAGAACATGTATGAGTGAAATCGTCAGGTAACAGGCTGTACAGTTACTTTGTTTATCAGCCTATTTACGAAGCGTGTACACGACAAAGAAAAGACGTAAACAAATTTTGTGTGGGGGAGAAAAAGAGGCAGATAGTTAATGGGGAAGATGGAGATTAGTACAGGGGCACACAAATGTTTCCAGATACATCATCAGAGGTATCTCGAATTGTTTTCTCCCTGATTTAGGAGCCTGTTTGGCTAATTTGGAGTTACCCCCAAAACTCTTAAGCAGTGTTCGGATGTGTTAAGGGAACATCATTCGTTTTCTCGAAAGTTTTAAGAGGCTTTTTCGTTTGTCACATCCAAAAGTGTTAGCAACCTTGATGGGTCCGGTAAAACGTTCGTGGACATGGAGTACCCATACTTTCATAAGATTTTCATACTAATCGCGATATCTTGGTAATAAAATGAGAAAAACACTACCTCCGAAAATCGTAGGTAAGTTAGTAAAAATACCAAGCGGTTTTCAGCCTTTCTCGAGATTCAGAAATTTCTAGGCTAGGCCGGCTCCTGATCGGGAGTACGAAGAAACTAGCGTGGGTGATTCATGTCGTTCTTATGGCAACTCCGATGTCATTGTAACCCTGATCATAACAAATTTTCATCTTAATCTAATACAGCTGTGGCGGTAATTTTTCCAAATCTTGGTTAATAGCGACGTAGTATTGCTCAAACTTGGGACGTAGTTAGCCTGAAAAACCCTATCGGCCACCTTAAGGTGGCCAATTCACCTTATATCTGGCCTCCCACGCAGACGTTTTAGGTCTTCGTCACGCCAGTGGGAAAGGAACGCGTGACGAAGCCCTAAGAACGCGTGCATGGGAGGCTAGGTATCCTCTTAACTTAGAGAAAAGAAGAAAAAAGTAAAAAAAAAGTCTCTTGACGAAGCCTTACTAATTTAGAGAGGTAGGAACCTTATTGGAAATTTCAGAGTTGCGTAGGGAACTAGGCGGAGCTTCAGATTTAAACTAATCGATTAACCAACACTACCATATTAAAGGTCATGTCGAGATTGGTTATTTGACCAAGTTTGGTGCTCTAAGGTAGAACAGGGATCACGTTATGACTCTTGAAACATGGTTAAAGAGCCATACAAACCTCTGTAATTTTGTGACAGCTTCCCCCAAAACCATATAAACTCTTAATTTTTTTCACCATTTCTGTGATATTCCTGAAAATAAGCCAACATAGTGATTTTCGAATTATTTCCTTCCAAGTAGTAGATGCATGACGAATTTTACAGTTTAAAAGAAAGACTGAAAACTATTTTAAAGAGTTTATATGGTTTTGGACTTTTGGGGGACGTTACAATTGTCACTAAATTACAGACGTTTGTATGGATCTGTAACCATGTTTCAAAAGTCATAACTTGATCCCTGTTCAACTTTAGAGCACCAAACGTGGACAAATAGCCAATCTCAACACGAACTTTTATATGGGGGTGTCATCAGTTTATCGATTAGTTTAAATTTGAAACTCGCCCCAGTTCCCTACGCAACTCCGAAATGGCCATAAACTCGAATAAAAGACGGTGAGGGAATTGGATAATAACGAGTGCTGACGCATTTGTTTCTCCAACAATTGTAAATTTAATCTTATTTGTATGGCAAAAGTAGGCTTTTTGTAATCTTAAATGCTTATCCTATTGCAATCGATGTCCCTTTATTATTGTAAATTAAAACAGTTTTGTTTTACCTTAAATATTTTTTCATTACTGTTTTAGATCCACTATCAAGTCACTCGTGGTTCTTTTCCCTCTTCTTGGCATCACCTGGTTATTTGGTCTCTTGGTGTTTGCTACACATGATGTAACAATTCAGTATTTATTTGCCTTGTCTAACTCATTACAGGTACATTTAATTATTTTATTTACACTTAATAGAAACTTAAACAGAGCCACACGCCTTGAAGGCGATGCTGGCACGAGTAGCGGGACAAGACTCTTACATTCTACTAAGTAGTTATCGCACTTTCTGTGTAACCTGTATCTATGTGTAGATTTAGACTCGCTTTGATACCTTTTTCAGTTTTTGTAAGTAAGTTTATCAAAGTAAATGTTATGGAAAGAACGCAACTGGTCACAAAGTATTTCAGGGCATTTTCAGGGGCAGGGGGGATTTGAATAAAACTGTCACTATTCTCTGTCTTCATATATACTTCTACACATGTGTTTTGGACGAATCGTGTACTCCTCCCTAAAAAATACGCGCTTGCCCACAAGCGATATTCCCGTTTCTTTGGTTTAGCCAATCTCGTTTCGACTCCCAAACTTTAGAAGCCTTGACCTTGGCATATCCCACACAGGGATTTAAGGGGGGAGCGGGCGGGGGCTGTGTGGGCATATCCCAAAAGGCGTTTTTAAGAAGAAACGTTTTTCCTTCAAACGCCTGTGTCGGAGGCATATGTTTTGTGTTTGGTCAACCTGCCTTACCGGGCACATGTCCATTTGTTTTGATTATGCACTGCTAAGAAAAGCGCCACCGAATGGAATTTTGCTTATCGATTGTTCATTCCTGTTTTAGCTAAAAAAAAAAAAATTTTTTTCTTTTTAGGGCTTCTTTATTTTTCTTTTGCATTGTCTTTTTAATTCAGAGGTAAGTAACAACTCAACATTGGTGGGATGACACTCAGAAGTTTTAATCTTTACTCTCCCTAAAGCACAAGTTATGTGACCGGCATACGAGAAAAGGATCAGAGTATCTACTCTAGACGACCACAGTAAACTATTAAAAAACCACAGTAATCTATTAAATAATTCAGAATCGACTGACTGACTAACTGAGATATTTCTGACTGAAGTAGTAGTCTACTAGAAGTCTAGTCACTATGAGCTTGATTTGAATCACGGGATATTGTAGAACATGCTTGCTGATTATCATGGAGTTTTGGGTAAAGTTTGTCTGCTAAGTTTTGATCTCTTGTATCAAGTGCCATCCTCGGGAATCATTACATGAGGACTGACTGGTATGAGCGATGAGCCTTAACAGCAGAAAGAAGTAACATCAATGTCACGTTTCTTTAGATTCGTAAGACCTTTAAGCGCAAGAAAGAAATCTGGAAGACTCTTAAAGTGTTTGCTTACTTCCGCAAGCGGATATTTGCCTCGTCCGTTGTACCTGTAGCTCATCGCAGTTCTCTTACAGATAAAGTCGCCACATTCAAGGTAAGCTGTGTTAAATAAAACGCCTTCTTCCAGTGGCTACGTGAGGCTGATCAAATAATTGTCGTGACCAAGAGAACGTTATAATAAAGAAGAGTAAAGTTAGCTAAAGTAAATACATATAATGCATACGTAAAAAGAAAATGCGCGAACGTGACCCAATAGGCCAGCGTAAGGCGTTTCCCGTAAAGTAAACATAACTTTACAGAAAACTGATTGACTAACTATGAACTCAGCTTGACAAGGCGCCATTCAGGTAAAATAGCTTATTTCTCATCAAGGAAGTGCATTCTCTATAAGTAACAGAAAACTATAATCATATGTTGAAGGCACAGTCAACTTGCTCCAACTTGCTTCGGGGCACTCTATAAGACGGACACCTTTCTAAATAGGACACCTGGGCAGTTCTTCAAACGTTGGATAGCGCTATCCACTGGATAAATTACTGTCCAGTGGATAGACCAATGGGAAACCAATTGCATTATGCTGGATAGAGATTTATCATGGATGGCTTTATCCAACGTTTGAACATCTGAGGCCTGGAGTTAGCCCCTGGGCGGCTGCTCCCCGATCCACTTAGAGCAACCCTCAGTGCTGGGGCTAAACTACAGTAATGTAAAGGCTCTTTCTTTTATGTCAAGAACTTGAAATAGTCATCAGTCTGACTAACAAATCTCAAGGCCTACGCGCTCATTTTGCCCCCCCTTCATCTTTCCCTTTTACGGGTATTTCAGGCTACTTTAAGCTAAACAAAAACGAATCACTTGTCCAAGGCCGCGCACCAACCAACTGTGGTATCCTTGTTCCTGTGCTAACCCCTGGTTAGTGGGTTAAAGAGAGTTGTGCCTACTACACGATGTGAAAAATATGAATACACCAATCAAGCTTGCATTTGTTTGATTGTCTCTCCTAGGTGACGTCAGAGCAGTGAGGGTGACTTCCTTTGGTAGCAGTGCGAAATCAAACTCATTGTGCAAATGCTATTTTCTAGTTGCCTCTATCCTCTTTTTCAAAACGAGCGGGCCAAGTCTCTAGGTCTTAGATATAAAAAAGTTTTTATCCCTCGTGCAAATAAGGCTCATTATCACGTGAAAGTTGTAGCGTTTGGCCTCACTTTAAAAGCGGAGGTATTTGGATCTCGGTAATGGCGCGGCGTTTTCGACTCTGTATTGTATATTTTGTAAATCATTGAAAATAGATATTAACTAGCTTTTCCGATTCAGTGGAATTCCTTTGGACAAACGTGGAATAGGAATAAATTTGTATGTAAGCCAAGGAAGGATGTATTATTAAAAATGAAATTGTTTTCTTATGAACGCTTGTTCATACTGAGTGTCAATCACTCACTAAAACGGTCATATACATTGTATGATAAAAAATAAAATAAATGAATACTTAATTACCATCGGCCCCTTACGAGGTTTTTCAGGGATATGATGAAACCAACAATTCAAATTTAACATAACAAGGACAAGTCCGGGGAGGGGGGTACTACCATATATGGGCTATATAGGTATGTGCCGCTGTGAAGGGTATGGTTTTCAAGCCTTTTACTCTAGGATAGGGTATATAAATATGAGCGTTTGGGTCTAGAATAGGATATCATTTTTCTGGAAACTGATCAGTTGGTTGAAGATTTTATCTAGACTAGGGATTGTGGTTTAACGTTTTGTTTTGGCTAGACCGTGCTAGTGACTTCAGTAGTTTCTGGAAAACAGCGACTCTAGGATAGGGGGGATTTGAGGAGTTTACTCTAGTATAGGGTAGCAAAATTCAGCTGGACTAGCTCTGGTATAGGTTAAGGGTTCCAGGGTCACAGTGGCACATCCGCACCCAGAATTTCCTAAAGTACCCCCCGGGTCCAGCAGTCTAACCGCTTGGTAACAATCACTCTATATGTCTATGTTAATCAGACGTATCAGTGTGACAATAAATTAGAAAAGAAGTGCGACCTTCTAATTCATCATACCCCTGCATACAGTAAACTAGCTTGGAGCATAATTGTGTGTTAAAAGTAAAAGATGAAACTGCAATAACTACGGGATTAATCAAAATCCATGATAATAAAATAATAAATGTCTTTATTGCTCATTAGATAAAAATACATATCCAATGTGACAGGATAAAAAGATTAAACGTTCAGCTAAATTACAATAGAATAAAAAGATTAAAAAATGCGAAAAACTAGTTACACATGTCTGACAAAAAATATCATAAAAGATTGTATTTAAAAATTAATCTATTTACAAATGTGTTCTTTTAACTTTCGGTGTTTATCTTGGGCCTTTGGAAGCTTTTACGTCTAAGATTGTGGGTTCTTTTCTTGCGGTAAGCACACCTTCAGAGGGTGGTTATCATGCTGTTTAGCTTTTTGAAAAATCGCTTTATCTCGTTTTTGTAGTAATGATCTAATTTTTAACTGTGTAGATATAAAGCGTAACTTATGGCATCTGTCTAAAATTGCTGAAGGACATTAATTTCCGCAACGGAGGCACCATAAACAGATAGTCTGTAGGTTATGTTAGGGAGAAAAATTCTATAGAAGAGATAATCAATTTCTGTCTGGCTATAGCGCTCTTTTCTACTTACTCTCATCACGTGTAGACGTAGCAGTTTAACAACAACTAATTATTAACAGTACCCGCCGTCACGCAAAGAGTGGCAAAGCCCTAAGAACGTCTGCGCATGCGTTAGAGGTTAACACAACGGTTGTCACCCGAGCGAGGTTTAGAATTTCTTATGCAAACAAGACTCGCCGAAAGGCGATTTTTAACTGGGCTGCCAAGGGGCTTTTTTTTCTGAGGGGAGGGGGCGGCTATACACACTCAGGCTACCCTAAAACCTTGTCGGCAACCATTGCATGCAACAGAATCTCATGTGAGACTGAAACATAAACTCATTCAGAACATTGTACCCTTTTGAAAGACTTTCGTAACCAAAAAAGGGGAACCATTTTTAAGTGGGGGCTGTATAATAACTTTTAAATTCCACCATTATGAATAAAAATAAACAAGTTAGCCATTAATTGTAAGCAGGAAACAATTTCCATTATTTCCACGCACCCCTCCCCCAATCCCTCTGTGTCCCAAAATATAGCGTGACAGTATAACGTGACTAATTTGACGTAACCGGAAATTCCAAAAATTGTTGTCCTTCTACGAGCATAAAATGCGACAGACTGAGCTGATTTACACTAGACAGAAATATTGTATTGTATGAAAACCAGAAGTATACTAAAACAGACAGTTAACTGCCCATTGATCCCGCCTGATCCAGGGGCGTCACTGACTGCACGGAGACTTAACTGCGCTTTTCACAAACATGCGAACTCTAACGTTCAAAAGCCACCTTCACAATTGTGTTTATCGCTGCCGTCAATCATAATTACGATCACAAGCAACGAACCTTGAAACAGAGAAACACACAAAACGGATCGAAATCCAGAAATCACAAACCATGACCTTTTGAACCCTTGAAGTAAAGTTTTGTTTCCTAAGAGGTCCGTTAAGATGATTGACAGCAGCGAAAAACGCAATCGTCGGTTGGGTTCTGAACTTCAGAATTCGCATGTTTGTGAAAAGTGCGATCCTAATTTGCGGTTCACAGTCTACATGAAAACGCACTATTTTTTCCACAAGACGAAAAGTATTCAGTTTTAAGATTTTCCTCACGGTATTTTTCTCTAACTTAAAGGAATAAAATCCTTTGCATTTTGAGACCTGAAAAAGTTTAAAGATTTCTCGCTCGCATGTTGCGTTCACCAGCACGCACTTCAAACAATGTAAATAGATGAAACGATCGATAACATACTTTTTTACCTGGTACCGATGTGAGTTAAAAATTCGCTCCAGTTCTGTTTGTCTCAGCCAAGACTAACTTTTCTTCATGGAAGATAACTATGCCGCTTTATAACTCGTCCGAGGTTTTTGTGCCAGCTAACAATATGGAAACACTATTCACAGTGACTCCTTGGATATTTAAAAGACTGAACGTGACGCACTATTATGCCTTTGTTTACTTCTTATCACATCTTCAAGCGAAGTCTCTCTTTTCAAGCGATTCATCTCAATGCACAATAATTGACCCTTATATTAGTTAAAATCCTATGGTTCATTTATATTAATGCTGTTTTTTCCCCTCACATTGACTGTGTTCGTTCGTATTCAAAATACCTTTACGAAAATAAAGGTCGTATAAGTCATGTGTGTTATGTTTCGAGATAAATGGATTATACGCTTTTTTAAGTTTCCATTTTGCGGTGACTTCAGTTTACATCTCTATAAAATGGTAAAAGAAATATCAAGAAACATCACGAGAGCTGAAAATTTTCAAAGACATGTTTCTGAAACTCGCTAATGCTGACATCAATATAGCGTGCTTGCTGAATGGGCGAAAACACAGAATTGTGATCACAAGATCTTGTACAAATTTAATGACAAAAGCTTAGCAAGATACAGATACAAACAAAAGCAAACGCCCTGAAACCTCGACGTGGGCTACACTTGTATGCTCTAGTCAGTCACCAAACCTTGTCGGTAATAGCTCCTATTTTCCTGAAGTCGCTCTCTGTGAAGCTCCCCGATGGGATGTCCCGAAGAAGCTTTAACCTTGTGTGCGAAATTCTCAGAGTTCCTATTTTTGTCCCTGTCTTCTTTATCCTCAGTATCCGAAATTAAGATCTTCAAAGTGGCGTGTGTTACATTAAATAGAAGGAAATATTTAAAGGAAAAGCCAGTCTTCTAACATGGCAAAGTTGTCACGTCCCTCGATTATGGACGTGCATCACATCAGGATTCATGTGCCGTTCATGGGCAACTGAGTTGTTCGCTTCACTGACTATGACGGCTTACAATCAAGTCTTCAGCCATAGTGTCGTCACCTGGTGAAATACTTTGCTCATAAATTGTGCTTCTTAATTGCTCATGTACTACATCGATCGATAGTTCACGAAGCAGCCACGGCGTTCCAAACCTGACGCTCACAGTCATCTTTTCAGTCTTTTAGTGTGAACCTACCGTGAGCGGCGTGTCGGTTTGAATGCAACGCGAGCATTTCTCTTAGTTTCCCAGCGCCAACATCATCTAACTGACTTAAACTCGAACAATAAAAAAATTATAGAGTTACTTCCATGGTCGAATCGCTTCGAACAACGCAAATAGCCTTCTTCAGGTTCGCAACGCCTTGTGGGTTTTTCAGGGGGAGAGCAGACTAGGTACAAAAAGTATCCGTGCAAGGGTTCATGCAAGAGAAAATCATATGAAACCATTTGTGAGAACATCGTTTCTGCGTACCAGACCCTCGTGTTTTCCCTCCCCCGGATGTCCACTTTGTGACACCGACGACCGAAAACCCATTTTATGACTGGGCTTGCCGGGCAGCCCAGTAATTAGTTAGCTGGTAGGCGCTATAAGGCAGTCACGATGGGCCCCGAACCATGGCCCAAATGGTTCGATTTGGAAGGGAAAGAATGAAGCTTTTTACGAACCGATCACTCAGAGAGGAAGGGGAGGTTTCCTTCTCGGGCTGGAGCTGGAAAAATTGGGGGCGGATAGGAATTATGGCGAAAAAACGACATTTTTGTTGTAACACGATACTGCTAGATCGCTCTGAAGTCCTCTGAATAGCCTTGACTTTTGGGAGTTAGTAGCCCGTGAACAGGCTCTCTGTTAGTTAAAGTATTACGCAAGTCAAAGGAATGCATCAAAGGTAAGTCTTCTTTACTTATTTTAGCCTTCTCAGACGTCAATAACGAAATATTTTTTACTTCAACATCCGCTTGTAACGTCTGAGCGAGTCACCCGCTTAATTAAAATAGGTCACGTTCTGGGTCACCTAAATGAAATTACATCTTCCCTGTAACGTGAGTTTAGGCCGCCGGTGGTAAAATCTGTATGCAGCCCATTAGGTTCCTACCCTGCAATTAAAAGACCTCTGCTCGCAAGGTATCAGGTTCTTGTAGCTGTTACCAGGGTGGTCACATCACCAAACGACACTCGTGCGCCCACAGGCAGACCATCCTCTGTCAGTGGGGGCCGTTTTTGATTGAAATCTGAGCAACGATCTTTTGTTATTTATAGAAGAAATACATATGAACAATACGGTGGCTATAATTTGTTCCAAAATGCAGAATTTAAAGCAAATGTTTCAATAAAAGTTTGATGAAAATGTTAACTCAGTCATGTGTCATGTTTTTTTCGCCGTCCCGTGCTGTTTTAAGCGCGATTTTGCGAGATGAATATTTGACCTCGGCGGTTAGAACTAATATTCATCTCGCAAAATAGCGCTTAAAACAGCACGGGACGGCGAAAAAAACAGGACATGGCTGAATTTGAGGATTTTTACCACGTCTACATTTCAAAAACTTCAGAGACTATCGTTGGCAGAAACCACAAATTTTCACTTGCAGCGCCGGTGATACTCCGAGAGACTCTTGGCAAACTATTTTTAACTAGTTTAAAAACTCTACCTAGGTAACTACTTGACCATGAGCACACAATACTGCCAAGTTATATCTTTTGTCCGTTCCAAGGGCCTCATCGACTACTCCGAGTTATGTTTATAACGAGGGTTAGAAACTATACCAAGGGGAAGGCTTTACTACTCTTCATAGATCACGCCACTTAAGTCAATCGGAGAAATCTGAGAACCGTATGATTCATCTCTCTGGGCTCGGAAGCTGAGCTAGCGAGGCAGCTTTCTTGTGTGGGGGGAGGCGGGGGGGCTGGAAGTCCCAGTCTTTCCGCTCATCTTATCTCTATCCTTAGGTATACTGTCATTAGCCAATTTTCCTCATGAAAACGGATAAATTCGCTGCCATATGTCCGAATAAAATGAGCGCTACAACACCAATTTAAATAGTTTACTTTTATTAAGCATTGTCCGCATACATTCACTATATAATTACAGAACTAGTAGATATTTAGGGGAAAAGATATTGTTGACCGACTCTCAATGTATTGAGTGCAAATACAGGCCACCCAATGTAAAGGTGATGTCACATGAAACAATTCGCAACGACGATTTTTAGCGCAACACAGCTTTGCAACAATGTTACGACATTGTTTCGAATGGTTCCAACATTGTTCCAACATTGCAACGCTGTGTTGTGCTAAGAATCGTTGTTGCGAATCGTCCCGTGTAACATCACCTTAAGGGAAACTGGATTCCGCAATCCGGGAAATTTTTGCTTGTGGAATGCGGAATCCAGGGATTTAGAATCCCTAAAACAGCTCTAGGAATCCGGAATCCCACTAACGATTAGAATCCGGAGATCCGGAGTCCACGGCGTGGAATCCAGCAACCAAGACTGTCTTTAATTCCATGACATGGGTCGAAAACCTACAAAGCAAACTTACGGAGGAAGCACAATTATAAAGTATAAATTACTGACATCTGTAACGCTAGAAATAAAAAAAAATTACTCTCCACTACACTAAGAACTGGCAATAGCAACATTACAATTCTCTATTTATGTTTTAGTTAGTGATCTTGTCAACATGCAACTTAAGCAACCAACTCTCTGAAGAGTCTGCAAACCGGATACAACATAAGCGAAAGATTTGAGAAAGAAAATTTCAACATCAATCCTCTTCGCATACCTGTTTAGCTTCAAAAATTTGCCTTAAGAATAAGATATTGTAAATTCAGTTTCTTAGTTACTGACTCTCCTTTTCAAGAGAGACTTTAGATACCAAGACGAGGAAGACTACTACTTTTTAATACGAAATAGTGCGCACTCGTGAACCAGCGACATTTTGGCGGGAAAACGCGATAGCGTTCGTCATTCTACTATGGTTTTTAGCGAGAATCTCTTAGTGGTGGAAAGAAGTTATCAAATTTTAGAACATTTCTCATTTTACGATAAGGAGACGGCTTAACGACTTTCAATAAAAAATAACCGTGCGAACTTTTCTGTTAAAATGAGTAAAATTGAAAAACTTTCCGGGGTACCTCACGTATCTTCATTCAACACACTTAGCCGCGAGTTAAGGCTTCTTGTCTCTCGAGGTTCATCCATTTTCCAAGACGGAATTTAACAAATTTGATTTGTTTTAGAATGCGCCCGAAAAACTTGAAGTCAATTTTTGTCCCAGAGTCATCCCCGTCCTAGAATCTTAAGATCCCTATGATAAAACTAAGACGAATCTTTTGTACGTCATAAAATAACCACTAGCTAGGCAATCACTCTAGCGGTGACCAGCCCTAGGTGTCTATCTACTGTTAGCAGGTTAGGAGGGCACTTCGCAAGGAACCTGTAAGTCCGACCGAGTGACCTTCCTTGATGGGTAGGCTTGTGCTTGGTAAAGCTGGTAAAACAAGTCAAATGAAATAAGACTAAAAAGCATTTGCTTATTTGGCAAAATGAATACCTCTAAAATAAAAACTATGAATATAGGCGAAATAAATTGGCATCAAGACAAAGCAAGTATCTTTAATGTATCAAACGCTTTTAGGTCATGATCATATAACAATGTCGAATCTAATCCCACTCCTTAGTGGTTTGTGTTCAACACTTAGGGCACGTAGGGCCAGCTGTGGTTACCACAGTTCGAAACGTGCGGGAAGAGAGTCAAAAAACAAGTTTTCCTCCACCGTTAACCGTTATATATTTTTCTGCTTTCTCAGTGCGCGTTTTGTCGTGTTATTTATTTTAAATTTTTATTTCGGACCGTGTTAGCTTTCCCTTTCAGCGCTGACTCTCTTTCCAGGTTTGTTCACTGTGCCCCTGATGAGCATGACAGACCTTCGAGCAGACTATTTAACTTTTACTGAATTGCCATCAGTCTATTTTCCTGTTTACATAAGTGAGCTTACTAGAACTAAATAATAGTATACCATAGCTATTTCTCAATTTAGTTTTTGTGTCATCCCTAAATGAGTATTTACCACTTAGGTAATGATGCGCATTTATGTATTTAAAAGATCTAACGTATTACTGGCTATTTCCGCCGCAGCGGGATGTAACCTACGCTCAATGAACTAATGTTTGATCACTGAATTGCTGGCGCGTTTATTGGACTGTTGTGTGTTTTTTTTTTTTACCTATGTTAACATTAATGGTCAAATAGGCTGCATCTTTAATTTAGATGTCCTGAGTGAATAGAATCACCTGTAGTTCGGTACCCTTTCTTAAATCAGCGTGCACACATTAGCTCAGCAAGCGTTCAGCACGGCCGCGAACGCTGCCTTTGGGGGGCGTGACAGACCGGGAAAGAGGATCATTTACGGTTGCCAAACTTGGAGTGGACCCGTGACGCAATCTCAGCTGGTTTGGTTTACACATATCTCGATATATCTCCTTTGTTCCCTCTCTGAGATGCTCACTAAATGCTATGAACAGCCAGGGATGAATTGCAGCATTAGCATGCGCCAGCCAGAAGAACAGCCATCTGAGAACCTCTGGAATATCGCTGTAAGCATCTTGGTGAAACTTAGACATTATGTGACTGACGTGCACAGGGAACCAACAGACCGCAAAAACGGTGACAACTGTAATCAACATCTTGATCACTGTCTTGCGTTTTCTGATCTGATTATTGTAAGCATGTTGGTTGACACTGACTGGTGGCTTGCGCTTCCACAGAAACCTAGCAATCAAAAAATACAAGATTGCTATGACAAAAAGTGGAATTGCGTAGGTGATGACAACCCTCGTAACCATTTCCGTTTTGTAGATAAGCAGAGACGTCTCTTCCGATTGATCGCTCCACTCATCGATACAGTAGGCTGTGCCATCATCTTCTATTTCCATTTTGAATTTGTACAGCTGCCCGATGGATACTAACGCAGCACACAGCCAAACGGCGCAAATGGAACACAACACTGATCGGGATGACAGGGCCCTTCTTCGGAGACACACAATAACTAGATATCTGTCAACAGCAATGACTGTGAGCGTCCAAATGGCAGCACAAATGGAAGTTACAAGCAGGTAAGGAATGATCTTGCACAGGGAAGCTCCAAATGCTCCAAGTCCCCATCTTTCCTCATATAAGAAGTATGCCACTGAGAAGGCAGACGCTGTGACTACATCCATGAGATCAGCAACTGCTGTATTGACAATGAGCCAGTAAAACTGGTTCTTGCGAATACTCTTACGGGTGCGGACAAGATGAAAGATAAGGGAATTGCCAACTAGAGAGAACAAGAAGATAATGACGTAGAGACCAATCATGATCATCTTTGCCACCTTCAGATCTGTCCCGTTGTTAGGACGCGGCTGGTCGTCCTCCCCATGGCTTTCTAGTTGGGTGAAATTGCTTGGCTCCTCCATCGCACTTCAGTTCAGATCCTAACAGGAGAATAATGGTTAAAATTAGTAGAGGCCTCATGTCTAACTGGCGTACCAAGAAAGACACCTACCTCAAATCATGATTTAGCAAATAACGCATCGATTTGATGGCTTTTTGTATGCCGTACAAAAGACGTTAGATTCTTGTTGTTTTTGGCGTTTCTTTTACTTCGAAATCTACCAAGTTGGCACATTTATTTTGCATTGAAAATTTTTAGTAACCTTGACCAGGTTGACCTTGAGATGAACTGGCCCACTTTCAATAGTGTGACGTTAAAAAAAATTTTGATTCAGTTGTTAAAGCAAAATATTGAGACCACTTCACCGATTCACTTTGCCTATAGCTCATTTGTGAAATGTAAACAGGAGATCGGTTCTATCTGCTAGTGGCATTCAACTTTTCCCGATCTAGTTTTTCAAGTTCTTATTCGGTTGTAAATTAAGGCAGGCCATGGTTATAGCTCCGGGGAGTCTTGCTAGTTGTCCTTTGAAGAATCGAATCAGGAACATGTTCGGGTAAGGTTTTTTTTCCGTCAAAAACACCTAAAGGACAGTTCTTCAATTAGACTTGGCTGTCGTCTAGCGTTAGCGCACGTTAACCTCTCAAAAAGTTTGAAAATTAAGACAACTTGTGCAAAAACAATTTTAAAGGCCAGTCATAATGCAGAGATGACTTGTAGAGGAGATTTGTGTGCGTAATAACATATTAATTTCTCGAAACAATTGATTCAAAATTTTGCAGCTCGGCTTTCGGGTTTGCATAATTGTCTCGAATTCCAACACCATCTCTCGTTCATATCAAGCTATGAAAACAAGTACGTTTTCTCTATTGCTTAATTCGAATCATGCAAGGATTTCAGTCTTTTCAGAAAGGAGCTAGCTAAGCTATGCTGTTCTGGCCTTCTTTCTATCAAAAGCAGTACTTAACTGACAGAAAAATTATATCAATTATACGAAAGCAGAGAAGGGACTTCAGACTTCAGACTTCAGACAGCATGCGTTGGTGATTTCTGACTTCAGACGCAATTCTGGCATGTTGCTGTATGAGTTCTTCACGCTGGTATCAGAGATCTCAAATCTTGAGTCTGAAGTCAACCCTGTAAGTCTGTAGTCTGAAACAGTTTGAAGTCTGAAGTCTAAAGTGGATTCAGCTAGGAATCACTTTGGACAACAACCTAAAACGTAGCAAAACATAACAACTGCTTGAGGAACTTACACAGCAAAACAAGCCAAAACTGCGTTTGAAGTCAAAAATCAGAAATCGGGAGTTCAAACTTTGTAAGTCTGAAGACTGTTCCGTCCCCCCTCGGTTTTCGTACAATCCATAACATTCTATGCAAGACTTTGCAACAGGTAAACCCCGACTCCTCAATTTCAGTATAAACATCAACCTAATGTTCTCGTGCTGATGTGATTGATGTCAAGACTGACAAGCGGCTTGAAGGAGAAAGAAGATGGTCCAAGAAATTGCATGTAACAAAGCATGTCTAGACTTTGGGGGAAAAATAGAAATGACCCCTACCGGCTCTTTTCGTGTACAAAAAATGATTAATAATAAATTGGAAAGTTGGCACACCGCTTTGGACAGGAATGGTGCCTATAAACAAGATCAACCTTAACATCTCTCCAGATCAGCCTCAATAAAATTCCTTGTACTATTTTTGCTTTTTTATCGCACCTTAAAGACCCTTTTAAAAGAATTAACAAGAAACTAAAACCTTTATTAGTTTCCCTTTCCTAAAGTGACGCTAATCAGGTAGTCGTGAATACACACCCATGGAATGTCAACTATTATCAGCAATATCTATTTTCTTCTAGTTGTTTGAGTGGATTACCTTTTGGTACTGAAACAAGTCGGAGAAACTATAAACAAAGTATTTAATGCACGTGGCAGTTCCATTTAACATTTTATCGGCAAAGTATTTTTTGCTTGAAAATTTAGCAGAGTGTTCAGTCTCACACGCGCGTGTACATCTAATTCTCATGATATGGTACTTAAACAAAAGACTCGACTTTCCTCGCAAGTTTTTTTTCACTTAGTTTCTTTCTTTAGAGTATCTTATTCAGTTGCCTGTTTCTCTATGTTCTTCCAGCTAATATTAAGAATGAAGCGACAAGGAATATTTCAGGTATTCCTTTTTCAGTTTCCCTTCATCATCATTATGTCTCAGCAAAGGGGTTTTATAATATCAGACTCTCGCCTACGTAAGTAGTTTTAATTAATGATTATTGGATTATATCAATTATTGCGAAAACAACCTTTAATACATATTACTTGTGCCGCGTAAATAAGCATTTTCACTTCTTTCAGTATTTTTTTTTTTTTGGCAGCGTTACATATTTCCTGATCATATCCTTGCTCAACTGTTTTTCTAAAAAGAGGTTTTCCTACATGAGAATATCACCTGAATTTTCAGCGCACATAAAAAAAAACACGCACTGTAAAAGGGGCCTCTTTAATTTACTTGAAAATGTTATTTTGTGAACGACCAGATGGACCGATTAATTTTGAAGTACATGTTTGAAATGAGATATCGTTATTCACTGGGCGCGATCTGGTGTTCCTTTTACAGTTTCCCTTCATTGCCATTTTGTCACAAAAGATTTCATAACCACTGAATCAGTCGCTTTTGACACCTTTATTCCCGGTTTTACTTCTAAGTTTCACATCTATTTAGAAAATCTAACGATTTTTGGATTCTTTCAATTGTACCGATAACCATTTGAGGACTGGTGTTAAGCCAAGAAACTGCGAAATATTTCCACGTGATATTGAGAACGACCATATAACCGAAACTATTAATTTTGAAGTATCTCCATTGAAGATATTGCCTCATATTTAGCTCGCATAAAATCTGAGTATACTTTTTCCTCTTGACTTCGAAATAGAGAAATGATGAAACACGCGTTTGTCTTAGCCGTATGGTAATTATTTAGTGTAAATAAGGAATTTTGCCAATTATGATATTGTGACCGTGATGATCAACTAAATTATAAGTACTCTCTCGAAATGAAATACTTTCCTTTATTAGGATTGTATAAATCCTAAATGAACTTTTATTTTTCCATTTATTTGAAAACAGGTGGAAATAGCTTTTCCAATTTGTGATCTGTTAGTTGCCATCGCACGCCAGTATGGGTTTATCGATATTTCGCTATATCGGAGCAGAAATGAATGTTTTTCTCTCTCTTTGAGGGGATCGATGAGATAATTCTAGATTCCTCCTAGATGTACCAACAAAATATACATTCAATAAATATTTTTCATTTAGAAACATTTAAAGAGTTACTTTTGGTATTGATCAATTTCAATGTCTGCTCGTGCAATGATATATCTCGCTTTATTGAACTTGAAACTATGAAACAGTGACATACACACGAGTTTTGTTTTAGCCAGATAGCATATTTTGTGAAAAAAAGGGCTTTTTCCAATTGAAATATTGTGCGTGACGTACATTATCGGTTTATTCGAAGTATTCCTTTACCCGCGTCCTTTGCATCAAATATGTTTCTATATTGGGCTGGCGTGCGTTCAAAATGCTTCGTTCGTTTTCTTTCATTACAAAATAGGGAAACGATGTCGTGCTTCAGGAATTTTTCGTGCTTTCATTTTAATTTCATGCGTCAAGTCATGTCATAGCTGCCAGGTACGTCCATGATTTTCGGTGACGAGTGCACGAGACGATGCTTTTCTAGCTGATTAACCGATCAGACCAGAGAAATGTTAAGGAATGTATCTATTATTTGCTTTGAAACTGAATGAAAGTTAGCGCGTTAGTTAGTAGAGTTTACTAGAAAATATTTTAGTGGAAGATTGATCAGATCAGTAGATTGCCCTCTCCAACAGTGTTTAAAAGTTTGGACCCCTCTTATAAAGTGTCATTGATCCTCACCTCCGTTCAGAGATAATTTTGGTAAAACCTCGACTTTTTGACAACTCAAGACTAAATATAACTCATTTAGCCGTCCAGTATTTACTTACTTATGAAAAGTGCTTATTAAAAAATAATGGTCAATGCATATATAATTGTAGCTTGTTGTGAATCATTTGCTTAACAATTATACATTGCTGTTGGATTTTTAGTTAGATTGTTGAAGAAAAGTTATCTTTTACTGATAAATCAACCAAACTTCTGTCAATGTAATCATAATGTTTTCCTACGAAATTCGTAAGGCAAACCACTGAGATACAAACAAGATACGATATGAACTACAGGCCCTCACAATATTTAGATGTAGCCAACTGAAGCTTTACAAGGCTGTCTTAAGTCTGTAAGAGCTCGGTATTTAGGGTAAAAGGCAAAAGTTTAGCTAGGCTGCAATAGAAATCGGGATTAAATGAACAACTGACTCTGATCGAACTCAGCAGTTACCAATGTCACTAAGCCCCCTACGCAAACTAAAACAACTTAACCTCAAAGTGCGATCACTTAGCGGTAGCTTTGCAACGGCAAAACAGGGGCAGGTACTGTCTTGATTCCAACTTGATTCAACTGGCAAACGCTGATCTGAGAGCAAAAATGTTGTGCTGGCAAACACTCTAAGTAATTATTCTTCCCGGTTACATCGTTATAGTGACAAGGTTTTTTTTCTTAAAGGATACCTACATTCTGACCATTTTAAGATATTTGGGTGCGTTCATGTTGAATTGCTCAGTACATAAGGTGTGTCCTTGAAATGGAGAATAAAGGCCCAGGACCATCAGCATCAATCAGTTTACGCGATAAAATACGCTTGTAAGCTAAATTTCAGCTAGATTTAACAGTAAGATGAACTGTATATTACCGTGTTCGTTACTCTTGCTGCTGCTGCTGCTGCTGCACCCAAAGCAACCGCAATACAATAATGCATCACAGTAATAAACAACTGTGTTTCTTGCCAGCTGCATTATCCATAATCCATATGCATTATCCATCCGAACCTGATTTCGAACTTGTTCCGAACCTGCTCCGATTCGAAGCCGGCTCCGATTGTATCTCATTGGCTAGAAAAAAGTCTTAACGAGTTTGTACAGTCAATGTTCCATTTATATTGCCGATATTGATTTGAAAGTTGGCGAGGCAATGTTAAGAGGGCATAAATATCTATGAATTGACATTAAAAAATAGCAATGACATGTTGTTTTTAATTCCTTTACGCCATTCATACCGAACAATTTATGACATCTTATGTAAATAGACTGATTTTTAAACACAAGACAAGGTAGTTTCTACGTAGTTGTTAACTAGTTTAATTTTTAGGGTAGATTTTTATTGAGTGTATAGGCAACTAGAATGTAACAAAAGATATGTCCTTTTATCTTTTGGTAATAAAGGCTATTATTTGTTTATTACTATTATTCTAATTTTAATGCTCACTTTTAACCCCTCTCCAGATGCGCAGATATTTTGGTTTTTGTTATATATGAAATAAAGCATATATGTTAGTTAAGAAATTTATAGCTAAAAGAAAAGGGCACATATGTACCCTCCTCAATATATCTTCTTTCACCCTCCAACTTTGAAATCAGCTGAAAGCATGAAAGTGCAAGACTACGTCTCTTTCATATATCAAAAGTATCAGTTTTTATCCCCAAATTAGAGGGTGGGGCACTCGAGTGGGTTTGAATATGTCTTAGCTACTCTGGATTTTGCAGTCCAAATCATACCCCAGTTCTAACGAAGGTGCGAGATACCTTGCTTGTTGAGTGACACCGTCTAAAACAAGCTCATTTGATTGTCTTTATTCATAAGAAGCATTAATATTTGTTAAAAAGGAAAAACGTCTACCCGTCTAGCACCTGACATGTAATCGAGCGCAATCCTTTTGAAAACTAAAAATAGTTCTGACTGTTAATATTATAAAAGAAACCACTCAGAGTCTGCTCATCCAACTTCAACGCAGTCAAGCCAGCTAAATAAACTACATCAATTCTTGTTACCCCCAAACAAATACGATTGAAAGAAAATATCTCACCAAAAAATTACAACTGAGTAGGTCGGGGGTCTCTTTATTTTTGTGAAGAAAAAAGTTTCATCAGACGTTTTGGCTGAAAGGGAAAAGGGAGTTCTCCAAAACAACAAACAAAAGCGACAGACAGCGCGCGGCTAAATTGGCTGGAAATACTTGGCTCATTAGAATAATCGCTCTTTACGAAACAGCGGCCCATAGAATACTTAGCCCGTATAATATGGTAAAAAAATAGGTATACATTTATAAGTGCCAATACGTTTACCTCTTAAGTGCTAAATTGAGAACATGCGCAGTTTTTATGATTGGACGCACGGTCATTTCTG